GGAGGTCGCCGCGGCCGGCCTGCGGGCGGCGCCGATGCCGGTCGCTTCCTCGTGAATTGCGCGCTGCGGTTCCACCGGGAGAGGTCGGCCCTTGCGCGCCCCGCGCGAGGGATTTGGAGAGCCTCGCGCGGGGCAGCAAGGGCGTCCAGGTACCCCTCATGGCCCAGCCGGATGTGCTTCCTGATCTCGGCGATGTCCAGAATGCAGATTAACCTCTGGGTGACCTTCAGTCGACTGCGCCACTTGCGCGGTGCAGGAGGCTTCGACCCGCTCGCAGTCGCCCAGGGAAGCTGAGGGTCTGCGGGCAGTGGCCAGCTGGGCCTGGAGCTGAGCCGCCTGCGTCTCCCAAAACTGGCCCCCGTCCCCGTCGCGCTGGAAGATGGTCTGGAAGAGCCGGGCTTTGCTCGACTTCGCCGCGCTCGTCCGCTCCGCCGCCGGCCCCCGTGGTGCCTGCAGCGTCGAGGCGAGCGCGGTGAAGTGCCCGTCATCAAAGCTGGCATGGCCCCACATCAACGGCCCGAACAGGGAAGAGACCCCCCGGAGCTACTAAGCGGGCGCCCCTCGAGGCGGGCCGGCTCTCGGACCAACGCCGATAGCAGCGGTGTAGCTGTGTTGGCCACTGTGAGCGTCGACAAATCATACGTTTTCCCCCGCACTTTGGGTTTGTCCGGCGTGAGCGCCATCACCAGGCTGGACTTGGGCCCCGCCTTCTGCAGGAGGGCTCTGAGCAGGCCCCACAGCGTGGCCTCCGCCTCGAGGATGGTCGCCAGCTCTTCGATGACCGGGGGCCATCGGCAAAATACCATCAGCGCGAGGCCGAGGGTAACTGCGGACAGGAAGTCCGGTCCTCGCAGTCGTCGAGGAGCTTGCGCACGCGGCCGGCCGCCGCCACGAGTGCATCATAGCAGGGGTCGCCTGCTGGGGGGGTGATGGACTGCAGGGGTAGGACCCTTTTGAAAAGTCCGTGGCAGTGTAGGTGCTGAAGGAGCTCCTCTGTGCTGCATTGCTTGTCAAGTGTCCCTGGGAATGAGCGCACTTCTCCTGGCTGGTCGTTCAGCTCCCGAAGCTCCGGGTGCCGGCCTAGGATCTGTAGCGCAAGGAGGGCCCTAGAGGCCGTCGGATCATCCTCAAATCGGTATTGAAGAAACTGCTCCAAGTCGTCGCGGCGCGGTGCTTTCCCCAGTGCGAGCTGCAACTTGTGGAGGTGCACGCGGTTACGGGTTGCAAGTCGCTTGGGCGCCTTGGCGGCCCCGTCGATGACCATCAGACGCGCCATTCGGGACGCCTGAGCGGCCCCCCCATCGTTCTCTTCGGCCAGGGCTGCTAGTGCTGCCGCCATCTGAGCCGTGCTCCGAGAACGTGAGAGGGGCGAACTGCGAGATCGGGGTCTGCTTGTTGCCGTCCTGCTCTACGCCCTCTCTGGTCCAGGCGATCTGGCCCTTCGGCCCGACGAAGCAGCGCCGCGTGTTGCCCCCCGCTGTCTGCTTCTTCGCACTGGTCCAGCCTGGAGGGAGCCAGCTGGCCGTGGCCGCTCGACACGGCACGCAGTCCCACGGCCAATGATCTGGGAGGGCGGCGTCCCCAGCGTTTCCTGCGGCAGCATGTGAGCCCGCCTGTGAGTCTGCGGCCCCCGCTGGGCCGGTCGGGGCGGCGTTCGGCGCGGCCTCGCTGCCGGAATGCTCGGTGACGCCGCGCGGCCCCGTCATGCCCCCGCTCTGTCCTCGGCTCTCCGCCACGCCCGTTGGCTGTGGCACCTCGCCGCCCGCGGGGGCGGCGGCGTCGCGGGCGGTGGGTCGGTGCCCGGCGTCGTCGCCCAGGCCTCCGGGGGCACCCTGTCCTGAGGGGGCGACCCCGTCAGTGGCCTCCATCATCTCGTCGAGGAGGCAGCAGCAGTCGGCGTATAGGGTCTCCTCGCTCTGCGCCGCGGCCTGATCCTGACCAGACTGGACGGGGGCTGCCGTCGGAGGGGGTCCCAGCGGCTGCGCGGGCGGCGCCGCCGCAGTCGCCGTAGGCGTCGCGGTGGCTCCTGGCCGCGCCTGGGTGCGCGGCTCTCCTGGCAGCGGCGGCAGGCGTGCCGCGGGCGGCCGGGCCGCCATGGCGCGAGGGGGGGGGGGGGAGGCCCGCCGCAGAGGGAGGCGGGGAGGGAAAAAGGAACCGCCCCCCGCCCAGGCAGGTGACCCGTTGACTCCCCCTTGACTTGAGCCAACTTGAGCCTCCTTCTCCTCCCTCTCCCCCTTTTCCTCCTTCTCCTCCTTCTCCTTGTCCTCAGCCCTCTCCTACCAGCGGCAGTGGTGGTTGAAGGCCGACCCACCGCACTTTTCCTGCTGGGCGGCCGCGCGCACGGCGACGCGGCGGTCACAAGTCGAGCACCAGCGGCCAAAAGGCTGACGAGGCGGCGTGGGCGAAGCGGCAGCCGCACGGTGCAGCGCAGGACACGACGGGCAAGCGAGCACCCATACCCCCCCGTTCCCCGGTTCCCCCCCGCCCCCAGACATACACA